ATTTTACCTCCGAAACGATCTCGCGCTGGCACAAGACTAGCAGTGCACGTTCGACAGGGTTGACCCGAACCTACCTGGACTGCGTTCACCAACTCATCCTCAGCCTCCACAAGGTTGAAGGATACTATTATTTGCAGCGGAGCGAAGCGCTTCGACAACAGCCTGACATAATGACCTCTAGTGGAGCCCCCTTGTCACTATTTTCATTCACTACTTGGCCATAGTGAGACCAACATTCTGCTGGTCCATGTCCAAGGCATCACTCGCCGTCCCCTGCATGCCTGATCATCAAGACTCCTCTTATTATCACCACCAATGTCAGTACCACTCACCAACAGCTAGGCTCTCCACATTGGACGGCGCAGCACCGTCTACAACCAGTATCGTCAAACTACGGTCAAGTAGAGTGTACCTGCCGGGTCCAAGCAGCGTCCGCTCTACCACACGTTACACAAATACTCCTCAACTCCTACTACTACTACTACTACTACTACTACTACTACTACTACTACTACTACCCAACCTTATTACACAAAAGAGACCACTGCTTGTCCAAAGAACTTCACCACCTTCGTTCGTACAACCACCTCACCAGCTGCGACCATGAGGACAATGACCAAGGTAACTCTGCGAAACACCGTCAGCTCGATATCAAGATTTACCCAACAAAACACTCAATGTTGTCGAAGAAACGCGAGAGAACCAATGCTCAGAATTGAAATCCGTCGAGAGTAACAGTGCTCAACTCTCCTTGATCAGGAACCGATATTATGCACGAATACTACATCCTACCACTCCACGCGCTTCGCTCCGCTATTTTCAATCATTTTATTCATCCCAAGAAGCACAAGCAGCGCCATTCGCACTGTAATGGACATCGCTCTTCAAAGCATAGGACACACCATTCAAACAGATAGGCTTTAAACCAGCGTTGAGCTCGGCAGCCGAATGCGAAATCACCTGTACACAACCGTGACGTTCTAAGTGCCTTTAGTCCTTCACTACATATTGTTTGAGCATTTCCTGGACCTCCTTATTGCCACCACTAAGAGCCTCCAACGCCTTCATGTTGAAGTGAGGGCCCATACGAGTGATGGTAACCGTGACCGAGTTGTCCTTGTCCGTATCGAGCTTCTCCGACACTATCGTTACCTAGCATCACCTTTGCCAGTAGTACAAGCGTCCATCCCGACCAACCTCATGACCCTGCAGGTCCTTAGCGTTCATCAAGGGCCTCCTCAGCAGACGGTCAATGTACTC